TAAGGGCAAATGAACCACAGAACCTTTGATACACACTCTGGCATACTAACCACTGGACTGTGCTCACCCCAATTATTAGTGATGACTAGTAATTTTAAGTGGTGTCAAAAAAAAATGCCGTGATAAAGAAAACAAAATTAGTAAAGATGGTCTTAGAAATGGGCCAGACAAAAGAGAACATCATAATTTTTAAAGATAGCAGATGGTTTGTAGAGTAACAAAATAATGTGTGGTTTTATAGTACAAGCTTGTTTATTTCAGACATCATTAACAATAAACAAAGCTTTCCAGGTATTCATCTTAACTATTTCATGGAAATATGCCTTAACACTTGTGTGTGTGTAACTTAGGTATTTTCAGTGTAACTATGTTCTTAATCGGCAGTGAATTTTATTTCTTACACAAAAAAGTGGATATTCATATCAAAATTCTTGAAAGTGTTTCTTTATATAAAAATGTTTATAAATTTGTGTTTAAACTTTTGAAGTATACTGTGTTTGGCAGAATTCTGGAAATACTGTTAAGATAAAGTTTGATTGAAAGTGGCAGACTTTGTTTTCAACTGTTTTATGGTAAAATAGTTCAGCAGCACTGTGATGAAAAGCATATTTCCCAATTAAATTTTTACACAAATGTATTATCTCAGAAACATTAACAAGTTCTTATTTAAATATCAGTTGTATTCCAAAATAACATGAGACATACAAATACACTATATCAAGATATTTTTTGAAAGGTAGAATCTTTATTAACAAAGTTTTAATAAAAAACTTCATTATACTTTCAGATTTTTTAAGATTCACTAATAGCAAACAACTTAAATGTAAATGAATACATGCACCAGTCTCCATCTACACTAATCAGCCCTTGGATGCCTAGAAATTATCAAATTAATTGCTAACTTCAGTATATCATAGATTAAGTTTCCATTCTCAAACTGGGATGCATTATACAAGTACGCCAGGTTTTTAACAAATTCTGACACAAATTTCATGTTTTTCTTATGAAATATAAAATGAGTAAATGAGATTCAATCCAGAGTCTTCTAATATTCAAAAGTTACTCAAAGTAATAAATTATTTATAACTGAGCTCATATGTCACATGTTACCATTTTGAATTCACTGATTTTATTCTTGATGTTTGTGGTGTTATCTTATGACATGCAGTTATGGTTTGTTGTGGTTGTTTTGATGACTGTTGTTTTTGATGGAACATCTTATTACTAGACAATATGTGTGGCATTTCTTTTTCTCTCCAAATCAGATTTGACCCCAGGTCCCTTGCCCTACAAGTGAGTGCTATACTAACCGATGTAAAGGGTTACCAACCAGCAACTGATTGTAAGACTTTTTAACAATTCAGGTTACCACATATGTATACATGTCCAACTGTAAAACAGGAATATCTTCTTGACATAAAAGAAAGTGGGGTTATCTTAGTAGGTGTAATATGTTAAATCAAATTACACTCCCCAGTGTAATTTTGTGAGTATCTGTTGTTACAACTTCAAAACTGTCAACTTTTAGAAATCTGTTTGAGATTTTTTAAGTGAAATTGTAGCACACTGTGGTAGCCTTCTAGAGGTGTATGCGGGCATGCTCCCCACAAACTTTTTTACTCAGTGAAGCAAAATGATGCAATCTGGTGTATATCCTGATCAATACAATGTCCAGCATGACATGGATCCAGCCAGTCATCCAACCACAGTGCATAAAAGAAAGCTGCTATTTTGACCAAAGCTATTTTTTTACTAAAGCCTGTGAGAGTGAGAATGTGCCCATATGTGTGAATTTTAGTAGCCCTCCAACTTAAAATTTTACATGGATTAATGATTTCAGATGGTAAAATGTGCTCCACAATTTTGACTCATTGATAGCAGAGTTGCTGATACTGTTAACTCTTCCATCTGATTTTATAACAGGTAATTACAAATAACGATACGTACATAATTTAAGTATAACGAGAATATTTGATTTTGAATACAATAATATTAGGCTTAAGTTTACTTAGATAAAAACTTAACTTTCATCTTCATTTATCTTACTGATAATGTTGTATATACAAGACTGTTTAGTGTCAGTGTTATTATTTAGTTCATTTAGTGATCTAATATTAAATGATTATTAACTTTTCATAACAAGAGAGTTAAATGAAATTATTTTAATGGCGATAATTACGACAAGTTTGGTTGCGTAACTCGGGAAGAGTCGAGGCGTATGTTGTGTGTGTGTGGTTCAATTGTTGTAGTATTGTTGACGCCAAGTTACTCGATTTTAGGTATTTTTCTGGTTGCCTTAAGTGAGTATTGTTCCAGATACAACTGTGGTAACCCACGAGTAACGTAAGTGAGTATATCGCAGACTGTACAGCAAGAAATAAACTAGAGAAAAATGGTTCGTCTTGTCAGATGAATTCCAAAGTAATTGAATCAGCCTGAGTGGATTCTTGACAAGAAAAGGGAATTATTTAGAGTTTTAGATAAAACTGTGATTTTTCTATTCTGTAAAGAATTTTTGTACATACGTTTAACTTGTTTTGAATATATTATTTTAAAACAAGTGAATTGTGTGCTGTCCATTTATTGTTCGAATTTATCGCCAACAAGTCACAGACACCTACTATAAAAGAATCCAAACCCATATGCATAAAACCCTTACAGATAATATGGTTTGGCCTAGTTATTGAAAAACTTAATTTGCAGTGCTATGATGCTACAATTATTTTGAGATCTATAAAATTACGATTATTTTAAGCTATACCATAGATAATATGTCACTCCTAACTTTTAATATATAAACATACACGAAAATTCGCCGTGATGACATACATCAGGGTATTCATTCACAGAGAAACCAGTCAGCGCAAGTAGCAGCATGATTTATAGACTACTTACTATGTGCTCCAGTAAGGAAGCACATTATGTTAATATAATAATAAGTAGGTAAAGAACGATTTATACGCATAAAGAAGAATTTTATTTATGGTGGAACATGCTACATGTTCTGTTGTGAAACATATAGAATGTTTCACCATCAATAAAATTCTTCCTTGTGCTTATAAATCGTCGTTTGCCTACCTATGATTACTTACTATGTGCCTGTTTTCAGTATATTTTCTGTATATACCATTGCGTATTTATATTATATAAACTATATTTTAACATGATGTGATAAGAAGTGAATAAGAAATATTTTGAAAATTATAGAAAAAAAAATATAAATTGGAATCTTTTGTGTGTGAAAATTGCCTCACTAGATGGGCCCACGAAATAAAGTGTGTTTATGTATTGTTATATGCTAAGCTATATTTTCAATGTTTTAATCTAGATGTTTGCTAGAGGGCTCATGGCGTTACAGACAAGAAAGTTCATGAACATTAACAATTGAAAGGTTTCATGGAATATATAGAAAAAAAGAGAAACGGTATAATGCGGTAAAGTTCGGTGAGTTATGAGTCTATTCAGTTACTCGAATGATTAGCCTGATTAGCCGAGAAATTATAAAGGCAGGTTAGGCGTATGTACTGTTACGTATCTGCTTGTTTGTTAATTTCCGGTAGGAATTTTTTGCGAAGAACTTCAGTGATACAAATCACTTCTTGATTAACACTAGTTTATACTTTCTCGATACAAACTTTGTAATACACAGAACTTCCATAGTCAATACGTTCCTCGTCGCTTTAAACTTAATGATTTCTTATAAACACACGCTATAATTCACAGCGATTCAGATACTTTATTTACCGTCACTATTCTTAGCTTTTAAAATTATCTATCTATCGCTGGCTTTTTTTCCCAGGCTTATATACTAAAAAACAGGGCGTCTAGCAAACACTCAAACATTCGCGGGATTTCTCGATAATTAGAGAAACTCCAGCGCGCATGCTCCCAGATTCACGCTGTCGTAACACTGCCCCTTCCTTAGCATTGTTCGTCCCGAACAATAGCCACTTACATTAAACCAATAGATGATTAAGAATAACTTAATTAAATGTACAGAATTTACAGACACAAAATTAAAATTTTACAGGACGTTTCTTCTTTCGTACTGGTCTCCATCTCATTGGTTTCTGTTTCACGTGGGGTTCATCTGCTCCATCAGGAAATGTCCCATTATCGGTAGCAGTCACATCAGTGGTAGTAACTTCATTAACGGCTTCACTGTCTTCCTTCTCAAAACCGAGTAGTTTCTTCTCCAACAGTGGCTTTCTCAGGTGACACGTCTCAAGCAACGTCATTTGTTCTGTTGTTCATTTCATTCCAACTGAAATGTCCTGGACCATGATAATGCCAAAGCTTGTTGGCATGCACTACCTCTGACTTACCTCGCCGACCACATTTTATTTGTAAAGTCACATCTGAGAGACGATCCACTATGTCATATAGGCCTTCCCAACTTAGGAGACTTATCTTTTGTCTTCCTGGGATTATACAACCACACCTTGTCTCCTGGTACAAAGCTGACTTCAGTAGATCTCTTCTCATAACATAACTTCATGGAATCAGCAGATGTTTTTAAGTTTGAATGCACTTGATGATGAATATCATTCATCTTTCAGATAACACTTTCACGAACTCTAGCACATTTACGGGCAACTCTTCGTAAGGTGGGCGTCCTCTTATCAGGTCCACTGCCAACCGAAGTTACCGACCAAACATCAGCTTTGCTGGAGTGTATCCAGTGGCTTCATGCTCTGCTGTTCTAGAGGTCATCAACAGTGGAGGGAGTAAGACATCCCAGTCATCTTGGCGGCTATTACAAAACTTTGCCAATTCCTGTCCAAGTGTCCAATTCTACTTTTCTACCATCCCATCACACTGTGGGTGAAGTGGCACTGTCCTGGTCTTTCGTATGGAACACAGCTGATTCAAAGTTACGGCCTTGATCTGAATGCAGTTTGTATGGCATACCATACAATCACTAATAGCCGAAGCTACAGTTGTAGCTCCCTGATTTGGTATTGTGGCCTCAGGCCACTTGGTGAAATAATCCACCACCACACAAATATACCTGTTTCCAGTTTAGGGCAGAGGACTAGCAATGTTAATGGCTAATTTTTCCATTGGTGCACCAACTTGATATAACTTCATTGGAGCATGTCCCTTATGCTTGGGTCCCCTGTTAGCACAACATGTACTGCAGGTCCTGCACCATTTTCCACATCTTGCCTCATACCTATCCAGTAAAATCTCTGACATAGGTGACTCAATGTCTTTATAACTCCAAAATGGGATTGACGCAGCACAACTTCCCGTAACTTTCTCGGTATAACTGTTTGCCAGGTCGTCACTTTCCCATCTCCAGAGAAGAATACCATCTTCAAGTTTCAACTGGTCCCATTGTGCCCAACAGTTCTTTGTCACAGGATTTAAGCTAGACACCTTCTCCCAAGCAGGGCACAAAACACTTACTTGTAGGAAATCAATTATTGGCTTCAAATCTTGGTCTTCTGTTCTGCCTTGATATCTATATTCGGTTCCACTTCACCATCATTAACTCCTTCAGTCGGCT